GACCGAGCTCATCGCCGTTCGCCGCACTGATACTATTCACACCGAAAAATGACGGAGGATTTCGCATGTGTATCGACTACAGAGCACTGAACAGGGTAACAGTCAAGTCGCGATACCCCATTCCCCTCGCCGACGAACTGATAGATCAACTGCGAACAGCACGGGTCTTTTCGAAAATATATTTACGGGGAGGTTACCACCAGATTCGGGTCGAACCATCGGATTGCGCCAAGACGGCATTTAGAACTAGGTACGGGTCATTCGAGTACACTGTGATGCCATTCGGGCTGACCAACGCACCGGCGACATTTTAGATGACCATGAACGAGGCGTTTAGGCCGCTCTTAGATAAATGCGTAATAGTTTACCTCGACGACATCCTAGTCTACAGTCGTGATAAGCAACAGCACTTAGCCGATCTGGAAGCAGTGTTTGAAGTTATAGACAAGCACAGACTACTGACCTAGGGTTCTAAGTGCGAGTTCTTCCAGGATAGTTTCGAAAATTTGGGGCACGTTATTTCAAAGGCTGGAGTTGAGATCGACCCAAAGAAGCTGGACACGGTAAAAGCGTGGCACCCCCCGACGAACATCACGGAGCTGCAGAGTTTTTTAGGGTTCGTTAATTATGTGCGTCGTTTCGTCCCCGACATGGCACGGTTAACTGCCCCGCTGACAGATTTTCTGCGGAAGGGGGTCGCTTTTACGTGGGGGGAGAAAGAGCATGCTGCCTTCTCTGCCCTGAAAAGTGTTCTATGTTCACCGCCCGTACTGCGCATCGCCGACCCACACCGCCCATTCGAAGTAGTTACAGACGCAAGCGACATCGCCATTGGAGCCGTACTGCTACACGATTTCGGCAACGGTTTACAGCCCCTCGCATACGAGTCACGAAAACTGCATCCGCCCGAGAAAATTTTCCCGATACACGACCGCGAAATGCTCGCGATCGTGCATGCGTTCAAAGTGTGGCGCTGTTACTTGACTGGCGCAGACGTGACAGAACGGACAGACTTCGGGCATGGGGCTCGTGCTTGGAGGACGGACTCGAGTTGTCCTCAATGGTCACGCAGACGCTTCCTGGGATGACGATTTGGCTACGCAGCGGTCGTCACAGGGTTACACCTTCAGCCTTGGCTCAGGCTCTGTTTCTTGGCGGTCTACTCGCTCGTCTTCTGTTCTCAGCTCCAGCTGTGAGGCTGAGATCTACGCAGGGGCCATGGCTGCACAGGAGTTACGCTGGCTCACCTACCTGCTGACCGACCTGGGAGAGCCGCCTCGTTCTCCTCCAGTGCTGTACGTCGACAACAAGGCCATGATTGCCTTGTGTCAGGAGCACAGACTGGAGCACAGGACGAAGCACATCGCTCTGCGTTACTTCCTTGCTCGAGAGTTGCAGCAGCGTGGTCAGCTTCGTCTTGCTTACGTGGCCACTCGGGCCAACACTGCTGATGTCTTCACCAAGGCACTTCAGCCTTGTGATCATCAGCGTTTCTGTACTGTTCTAGGCCTTGTGCCTACTGTGCCTCACTTGCTTACTTCTTGACTTTGCTTGTACTGTGATCTCTATACATATACCTGCATGCTTACACTTGCTAGGTTGTGATCACTGTATTTCTTGTTCTCCTTTATATAACTCTACATGTGAACTGGCCTTGTGGCCATTTGCTTGTGCTCAGAATGTGTGGTGACGTCGTGATCCACCCTGAGCTTGCTTTGCCTTTCTTGACTGGTCTTGTGACCTCTTGTTCTCCCCCACTTTGCCTATGGGGGTGTGTCAAACTTATATGCTATAGTCGTACAACACTTCTAGGTTTTCCCACTTGTACCCACCTGCTTGCTAGTTCATTCATTCCTCGTTCTATCTTTCACAATCACTATAGTACCTACGCGCACAGACCCACCTCAACCCACGACAGATCCGCTGGCTCGATTTCCTCGAGTCAAACTTCCACTACACGGTCACCTACAAAAAAGGGGCATCGAACATTGCCGACGCACTGACCCGCCCCACTGCCCAAATCCACGCCGTACTACTCGCGCAGACCTGCCCGCTACTAACAGGACTATTTACCCACGGCTATCAAACCGACTGGTTCTTCACAGGTGGAAATTCGCAGCAGTTCGCAGCAGCAAAGGGGGTTTATTACGTAAAAGCCGGCACCGACCGCATCTGGGTACCGGGCTACACTTTACTAAGGGAGCTGTTACTACAGGAGGCACTCGACGGGGTTACCTCAGGACATTTCGGAGTAGAGAAAACACGGCAGCAGCTGCAGCGGTATTACTACTGGCCTGAAATGCTGACCGATGTACAACGACACGTGGCATCGTGTCCCACCTGCCAAATCATGAAGTCATCACGGAAACGGCCGGCAGGGCAGTTGCAGCCGATACCACCCCCAAAGCGTGCTTGGCAGCAGGTGACGATGGACTTCGTCACGGGGTTACCGGCTAGAGCAAGTGGGAACGACGCGATCCTGGTCGTCGTCGATCGGCTGACGAAAATGGCACATTTCGCAGCCTGCAAAAAATCAATCACAGCCGAAGAAACAGCCCGCCTCTTCATCTCCACCGTCGTTCGATTGCACGGGATACCAGCATCAAATATCAGCAACCGCGACACGAAATTCACCAGCAACTTCTGGCGGAACCTGTGGCAGCAGTTCGGCACGCGACTACAGTTCAGTTCTTCGTACCACGCCGAGACCGACGGACAGACAGAGCGGACAAACCAGACCATGGAGCAACTCATCCGAGCCACGTGCGACGACCCGACCACTTGGGAACAGCAACTGCCACTCATCGAATTCGTGTACAACAACTCACCATCTGCCACGACCCAACAGTCACCATTTTACCTGAACTACGTACAAGACCCCACAGTACCCATGACTCCGAATCCCGACAACCCGGTGCCACACACGCAACAGTTTGCAGAATTTGTACAAGCAGCACGGACCCGAGTAGCCGAAGCAATAAAATAATCAAACGTCATCGCTAAGCGCAACGCCGACCGCCACCGCCGCCCCGTCACTTACCAACCAGACGACCTGGTATTACTCGACACTCAAAACCTCCGCCTACCCATCACTCCAATACTTTGCCCCCGATATTGCGGGCCATTTCGCATCAGCCACATGATCACACCCGTCACCGCCCACCTCCTCTTCCCTGCCGACTAGTACGTCAGCCCGTCATTCCACGTTAGCCTGCTTCACCCATATATCCCATCCACCGGCCAATTGCCTCGCAACCGCCCCGCCAGTATGACACGACCGCCAACAGAGCCAATCATCACGCCCGAAACAATACTGGGCCACCGAGTACGTGACCCACGGGGAGCCCGCAGAATCGAATTCCTGATCCGCTAGAAAGACCGCACGCCCACCGAAGACAACTGGGTCCCCCTGGATAGAATTGAGAATCACCCTGTCCTCACTGAGTATCTGCGTAGCCGAAACTTTCGAGATGTACACGCACTCTCGTAAGGAGGGCCTCCTTGGGAGGGGGGTAGTGTAAGGAAAAAACATTTTCCTTACTTCGCGCCCCTGCTTACCGCGTACATGACCACTCCCGCCATCGGCACCCAAAGTGAAACGTTACCCGCTCACAGCACTCGCCTCGGCCACGACTCCCGCCACTGTTCGCGATGCGACCCAACCTAACGGTTCGGTTGGTAACCCGCGCTCCGGACCTCTGCCTCGACAACTTCCCAAACCTCGGCGCTAGGCCCGTAGCACACCCCAATTTCCCGCATTACCGTTACCATGCTAGCTTCGCTATATAACTTCGCCCATGCTATATAATTTCCCGCGGACTGTATTGTTTTGCTTCCATAGTGCAATTCAGGGCCTATGCTAGGATTTTAGGCATCCTGAGCCCTCAAGGCAGATTTAAAAAAGGTCTCAAAATACCCTGATTTTTCAGGGCAAAAACTCATGGGCATCCTGAATTTTCAGGACACCAGCTGAAATTTATCCTGTCACGTCAGGTCAATGTCTTTTTATAACCCTGATTGGTATTGGTGATTGCACATGTAAAACAAAATATACCATAGAGGAGAAGGAACGAGATGTGCAGGTCGTCTCGTGCCTTGACCTGCCACCTCACGACCGTGCGTGCATGCTGTCCAGAGATGTGTTTGGCCATTAAAGTGGCCAGGGAAAATCCTCGAAGGCGGAAAACGCACCCCCCCCACCCCCCATCCACCCCCCCTACCTCCTCATCCCCTTCCCCCTTCCCTCCCCTTCGGTATTCGCGTCAGGGCATCGCTCGATATCCATCCTGTTGTTTCAGGGGGAAAAAAAACGGCCTTCCTGAAAGTTCAGGGCATAAAAATACATTTTTCCTGAAGTCACAGGGTTAAAACTAGCATTATCCTGAACTTTCAGGGAGAACCCCCCACAACATCCTGAAATCAGGGTAATCAGGATGTTTTACCCTGATATCGTGGGGCCTGGTGCAATTCTAGCTAGCTCGCTCAATTGCACTCGTAACAAACAACAAATGTGTAACAATGCCGACTCCACACTACCCCTCACCTCCTTGCCTACTTTTTGCCTCGCCTTGTCGCCTCCGCTCAGGTTTCGAGGCATAGTTTTTACGGCTTTTCTAGGTAGATAAGGCCGTGTCGTCTCCCCTCGGCGACTCATGTAGTTCGGCTCTTTGTGTGCATCCTCGCCTCCTCGCCCTCTCGCCGTTCGTCTCCTCTCAGCATCCTCGTCGCGTCGCCTCCTCGTTTACACCCTCGTCACCTCCTCGCTTCCTCGCCGCCTCGCCTCCTCGTCGCGGCGCCCTCCCCTCCGCCTCCACGCCACGTCGCCTCCTCTCCGCCTCCTAAACCCTAAAGTGACGGAATCTTGAAGGCGCGAGGGAGGATCCAGATTCCTAAAAAGAGCCCTGGCGAACAGGGCCTACATGTTCCACGCCTCCGCTGCTTCTTCCCCTACTGCCCGCCAACCAGCGTTTCCGATCGTCGGCGCGCATAGCCATGGACCTTCACGCGGGGATGAAGCGAAAGCTGTCGCAAATCAGCAAGGTCAAGCCGAAAGCAGACCACGGGCAGAACGCGGAGCTGGCTAATAACACGGATGACCCGAGCAGGGGATTCTTCCACAGCGACGACTCGCCGCGCGAGGCTGCTGGCGGAAGGCCCGCCGCAGGCTCCGCGGTCGTCCTGAAATCCGCTCTGAAAGGCGGAAAAGGGGGTGAGAAAGAGGGAAGGGACGGCGCGGGGAAGGGTAAGGGGAAGGCGGTGGGGTTTGCGGAGGCGGATCAGGGGGAGGAGGGCGGAGAGGCGGAGCTGAGAACGGGCGGAAGAGAGGTGCGCCTGCCGACTGTTGCGGAGGGCGCTGGCGCAGATTCCGCGGAACCAGGGGGAGGCGCAGAAGGAGAGGAGCACGGGGGAGGTGGAGAGGGCGCGGGCGGCGGAGGAGGTGCGGGGGAGCAAGCGGGAGGAGGGGCAGGCGGGGACGCGGGTGGGGGGATGGGGCGGGAGGAGGAGGAGGAGGAGCAGGTGGGGCTGGACTTGGACCTGACACGAGTGCCGGCCATGAGCCCTGCTGCCATGCAGTGAGTGCCGCCCATGAGCCCTGCTGCCATGCAGTGAGTGCCGCCCATGAGCCCTGCTGCCATGCAGTGAGTGCCGCCCATGAGCCCTGCTGCCATGCAGTGAGTGCCGCCCATGAGCCCCGCTGCCATGCAGTGAGTGGCGGCCATGAGCCCCGCTGCCATGCAGTGAGTGCCGCCCATGAGCCCTGCTGCCATGCAGTGAGTGCCGCCCATGAGCCCCGCTGCCATGCAGTGAGTGCCGCCCATGAGCCCTGCTGCCATGCAGTGAGTGCCGCCCATGAGCCCCGCTGCCATGCAGTGAGTGCCGCCCATGAGCCCCGCTGCCATGCAGTGAGTGGCGGCCATGAGCCCCGCTGCCATGCAGTGAGTGGCGGCCATGAGCCCCGCTGCCATGCAGTGAGTGGCGGCCATGAGCCCCGCTGCCATGCAGTGAGTGGCGGCCATGAGCCCCGCTGCCATGCAGTGAGTGCCGCCCATGAGCCCTGCTGCCATGCAGTGAGTGCCGCCCATGAGCCCCGCTGCCATGCAGTGAGTGGCGGCCATGAGCCCCGCTGCCATGCAGTGAGTGCCGCCCATGAGCCCTGCTGCCATGCAGTGAGTGCCGCCCATGAGCCCCGCTGCCATGCAGTGAGTGGCGGCCATGAGCCCCGCTGCCATGCAGTGAGTGGCGGCCATGAGCCCCGCTGCCATGCAGTGAGTGCCGCCCATGAGCCCTGCTGCCATGCAGTGAGTGCCGCCCATGAGCCCCGCTGCCATGCAGTGAGTGGCGGCCATGAGCCCCGCTGCCATGCAGTGAGTGCCGCCCATGAGCCCTGCTGCCATGCAGTGAGTGCCGCCCATGAGCCCCGCTGCCATGCAGTGAGTGGCGGCCATGAGCCCCGCTGCCATGCAGTGAGTGCCGCCCATGAGCCCTGCTGCCATGCAGTGAGTGCCGCCCATGAGCCCTGCTGCCATGCAGTGAGTGCCGCCCATGAGCCCCGCTGCCATGCAGTGAGTGGCGGCCATGAGCCCCGCTGCCATGCAGTGAGTGCCGCCCATGAGCCCTGCTGCCATGCAGTGAGTGCCGCCCATGAGCCCCGCTGCCATGCAGTGAGTGGCGGCCATGAGCCCCGCTGCCATGCAGTGAGTGGCGGCCATGAGCCCCGCTGCCATGCAGTGAGTGGCGGCCATGAGCCCCGCTGCCATGCAGTGAGTGGCGGCCATGAGCCCCGCTGCCATGCAGTGAGTGGCGGCCATGAGCCCCGCTGCCATGCAGTGAGTGCGAGAAGGGTGTTGCTGATGTGCGAATCGTCACGTGCGAATCGTCACGTGCGAATCGTCACGTGCGAATCGTCACGTGCGAATCGTCACGTGCGAATCGTCACGTGCGAATCGTCACGTGCGAATCGTCACGTGCGAATCGTCACGTGCGAATCGTCACGTGCGAATCGTCACGTGTGAATTGTCACGTGTGAATCGTCACGTGCGAATCGTCACGTGCGAATCGTCACGTGCGAATCGTCACGTGCGAATCGTCACGTGCGAATCGTCACGTGCGAATCGTCACGTGCGAATCGTCACGTGCGAATCGTCACGTGCGAATCGTCACGTGCGAATCGTCACGTGCGAATCGTCACGTGCGAATCGTCACGTGCGAATCGTCACGTGCGAATCGTCACGTGCGAATCGTCACGTGCGAATCGTCACGTGCGAATCGTCACGTGTGAATCGTCACGTGTGAATCGTCACGTGTGAATTGTCACGTGTGAATCGTCACGTGCGAATCGTCACGTGCGAATCGTCACGTGCGAATCGTCACGTGCGAATCGTCACGTGCGAATCGTCACGTGCGAATCGTCACGTGCGAATCGTCACGTGCGAATCGTCACGTGCGAATCGTCACGTGCGAATCGTCACGTGCGAATCGTCACGTGCGAATCGTCACGTGCGAATCGTCACGTGCGAATCGTCACGTGCGAATCGTCACGTGCGAATCGTCACGTGCGAATCGTCACGTGCGAATCGTCACGTGCGAATCGTCACGTGCGAATCGTCACGTGCGAATCGTCACGTGCGAATCGTCACGTGCGAATCGTCACGTGCGAATCGTCACGTGCGAATCGTCACGTGCGAATCGTCACGTGCGAATCGTCACGTGCGAATCGTCACGTGCGAATCGTCACGTGCGAATTGTCACGTGTGAATTGTCACGTGTGAATCGTCACGTGCGAATCGTCACGTGCGAATCGTCACGTGCGAATCGTCACGTGCGAATCGTCACGTGCGAATCGTCACGTGCGAATCGTCACGTGCGATTCGTCACGTGCGAATCGTCACGTGCGAATCGTCACGTGCGAATCGTCACGTGCGAATCGTCACGTGCGAATCGTCACGTGCGAATCGTCACGTGCGAATCGTCACGTGCGAATCGTCACGTGCGAATCGTAACGTGCGAATCGTCACGTGCGAATCGTCACGTGCGAATCGTCACGTGCGAATCGTCACGTGCGAATCGTCACGTGCGAATCGTCACGTGCGAATCGTCACGTGTGAATTGTCACGTGTGAATCGTCACGTGTGAATCGTCACGTGTGAATCGTCACGTGTGAATCGTCACGTGTGAATCGTCACGTGTGAATCGTCACGTGTGAATCGTCACGTGTGAATCGTCACGTGTGAATTGTCACGTGTGAATTGTCACGTGCGAATTGTCACGTGCGAATCGTCACGTGCGAATCGTCACGTGCGAATCGTCACGTGCGAATCGTCACGTGCGAATCGTCACTTGCGAATCGTCACGTGCGAATCGTCACGTGCGAATCGTCACGTGCGAATCGTCACGTGCGAATCGTCACGTGCGAATCGTCACGTGTGAATTGTCACGTGTGAATTGTCACGTGTGAATTGTCACGTGTGAATCGTCACGTGTGAATCGTCACGTGTGAATCGTCACGTGTGAATCGTCACGTGTGAATCGTCACGTGTGAATCGTCACGTGTGAATTGTCACGTGTGAATTGTCACGTGTGAATTGTCACGTGTGAATTGTCACGTGTGAATTGTCACGTGTGAATCGTCACGTGTGAATCGTCACGTGTGAATCGTCACGTGTGAATCGTCACGTGTGAATCGTCACGTGTGAATCGTCACGTGTGAATCGTCACGTGTGAATCGTCACGTGTGAATCGTCACGTGTGAATCGTCACGTGTGAATCGTCACGTGTGAATCGTCACGTGTGAATTGTCACGTGTGAATTGTCACGTGTGAATTGTCACGTGTGAATTGTCACGTGTGAATTGTCACGTGTGAATTGTCACGTGTGAATTGTCACGTGTGAATTGTCACGTGTGAATTGTCACGTGTGAATTGTCACGTGTGAATTGTCACGTGTGAATTGTCACGTGTGAATTGTCACGTGTGAATTGTCACGTGTGAATCGTCACGTGTGAATCGTCACGTGTGAATCGTCACGTGTGAATCGTCACGTGTGAATTGTCACGTGTGAATTGTCACGTGTGAATCGTCACGTGTGAATCGTCACGTGTGAATCGTCACGTGTGAAATGTCTATGATAAGATCCGTGTGGTTACATGCACACGTCATGCTCTCTTTGTCGGGAGCTGCTGCCTTGACACACACTTGACCAGATGAGCTGTTGTGACGCTCTACAGTTTGGCTCGTGGACAGTGCCTCACACAGCACCCATACCCTTCCCGCATTCCACCTGTCCGCCAGCTGTTGTGGTGCTCTGAAAGTGCATCACAGCGCAATTCTGACAGTTTGTTCATTAACAGTGCATGTCAGCGCCTATCCCACTCTCTCCACCCGCCCCCTCCTCACACGTACCCGCCATGCCCCGCAGGGAGCTGTTGGATCGCTTCACACCGGAGCAGATGAACCGCTACGAGGCGTATCGACGGTCAGGATTCAAGCAGGCCAGCATGCGACGGGTATGGCTTGAGATTCTTCCCTCTCCTTGTGATTATCGGTTCCTTCCACGCCGGTTTCGTCCTGTTCTTTCAGTTCTCTTCTTCCACTCACGTTGCTGGCATCCGTCCTTCCACTTCGTTTTTCTTTGACCACTCTGCTGATCCACTTTTATGTAGATCCACTATAAAGTATTCTCAAAAGTGGTTCCCTCTGCCTGCCCCATGATTTCTGATGTCTTGTACTCTCCTGGTTCATCCCCAGTCCCTCAAGGCTTACCTGCCTTCAACGCTTTATACTCTCGGTCCTTTTTTTTCGCGTATGATTTCCATGCCTGTGCCTGTAACCGCTTGCCTTGCCGCACACCTAACCGAGTCCTTGAGGTTGGGCGCAGAGTGGTGGGTGTTGTGGACATCTCACGTCTCCTGTCCTTCTCATTTTGTTTCTCTCCCATCCCACCCCACGCACCTCACTCCATCGCATCTCACTCCACCCCACTCCACCGCACGGCACCACGCTTGCAGCTGGTGCACGGGGTGGCGGGAGCCACAGTGAGTCCGCAGCTGGGCATTGTGATGTCGGGCGTGGCCAAGCTCATGGTGGGCGAGCTTGTGGAGACGGGTGAGCTGGGGGAGTGGTGGGACTGAAGGGTGGTGGTGGAGACAGGGTGCATTGAAGGGGCGAATGGAATTAGTGGGTAGGGAGGGTATGAGTTGTGGGCAGCTTTGCAGTCTGGTGTGTCTCTTCCCCCACCCACCCATGTTCGCAGTGCCGCGTGAACCCATCATCTCATCCTCCCATTCCGCATTTATTATTAGAAATACACCTGGTTCCAACCCCCCAACCTGCCTCTTACTGCCTTGCCACTCTTTTCACCTTTCTCCACTCATGACCCATCCACCTGCATTCCCTCCATTCTCTTCAGCCCGGCTGGTGATGGGCGAGAGGGGCGATGAGGGGCCCATCAGGCCCACGCACATCCGTGAGGCGTATCGACGGCTCAAGATGGAGAAGAGGGTGCCCGTTCGATCTCGACCGCCACTTTTCCGGTGATGCCTAGACCTGCAGCAGCGAGGGTGTGCTGCTTGCATTGCTGTTGGCAGATCCGGACCAGTGTGTTGTACAGTTGCAAACGCATAACCAGGTTTGTAATATTCTACATTTTGAGAGAGCAACTGCGTATGTGTACCAGGAGTGGTGTGGGGGCAGCAGGTTGCAGGAACGTTCATTCAGTGCAAGGCTCCAGCTACCAGGCAACGGGCGGTTACGGGCGCCGCTGATCTCAGCAACGTGCTGTCAGGTCCTAAGGCTTCATGCCATGCCATTTGGTTTTGAAAAAGCACTTGAGCCACAGGAGGAGACGCGGTGCGTCAACAGCCAACCAACAGCAATAACCTTTTCCATATGTAGCTGGAATCTGACGATTTGCTACAAATACCGCACCTGTGCAAATGAAACCTACAGATATTGCCAATGCATGGCCTATTGGCATTGTAAGACAAGGAGAGGAGAGCACACCACTGCCCTCCACTCCCCCAGCTGCCTTTTCTTTGCATTGCCTTTTGTGCTGCAAAGTATCAACTTCAGTTTCAATTCAATCGTCTGAACAAGAGGAAAAACACTCTGTTATGAACAAGTTTCTGAACAAAAAACAATTGCGGTGATGCCTGAGCTGGTCCTTATTTGACAACATTGAAAAAACAGCTCTTTGAAAAACTGGTAAAGAAATATAAAACTTACTGAACATAAACAATATTCAGGAGATATTTCATTTAAAAAATAAATAAACTTGAAGCAACAGCCGCTCCCCCTTCTTTTGAGACGCCCGCCCTTCCTTTCGAGACACCTCAGAATCAGCTGCAGGGCTCAATCAAACCCTCTGAGGATTCCCGTTTTGGCTGTACTGTCTCGAACAAGAGCACTTGTCTTTCCAACCATCTCTCAAAGTAAGCCGCACGACTTTCTCATGCCTGCTTGGGCTTCCTGCGTCTGACTGCTTTGCCTCTGGCAGGAATGCTTCCAAACTGACTGTCACCTTTTTTCGAGAGGCCACAAAATCAGCCGCAGGGCTCACGCCCGCTGAGGCTTCCGGTGCCGGGCAGCTTTGCCTCCCACAGGAGTGCTCTCGAACCGACTGCTGCTCTCCCCCTCCCCTCGCATCTGCTGCTGCGTGCCCTGAGATGCACCCTGCCCTCTGCTGCTGATGGGGGTGATGGTTGAGCGGGTTGGAGGATGGGGGAGTGGTTGAGCGGGTGATGGTGTGGTGGTGGAGGGCTTGGGTGATGGGAGGGTGGCAGGAGGGAGTGGGATGCACCTGGAGTGCGGGAGGGAAGAGTGAGAAGAGCGATGAGAGACGAGGGATGGGAGAGAGGAGGGATGAGTGAGGGGAGTGAGTTAGGAGGATAAGTGAAAGGAGGCATAGATGAGGTGGAATGAGTGAAAGGAGGCATAGATGAGGTGGAATGAGTGAGGCGGGATGAGACGTTTGGCGGAGAGGTGTGACGGAGTGGAGAAAATGGTGGGGAGCAGAAAGATGAGGGGAATATGTGAGCAAGTACCAGGTGGTAAGCATGTGGTCAGAAAGTGATAAGCACGATGATGTTGCAACATGACATGTGGACATGTGGGGAGGTCCCTCATGAGGTAAGTGCATGCAGCTGTGTCGGTGGCAAACCAAGTGAGGGGAATGCGCCAATAGGGAGTGCGCAGAAAGGAGAGGACAGGGAGAAGAGAGGGCAGGTGAAAAATGGGGAGGACTGACAGCAGGGAGTGGAAGAGGGTGGAGAGCGGTGCAGTGGGGTCCCAAGGCGAGCCTGAAATGACCTCCCATGCGCTGTGGGCCATCTGGAGAGGGGAGGAGGGACGCCGAGGAAGAGGAGGGGGCGAAAGATAGCGGAGGGAGAAGGTTTAAAAAAAAAAAAAAATGAGCCTTAAAAAACTTGGGGTAGTGGTGAAGCTTGCCCTACCCCCACCACACCATTTAGGGTGTTTAGCCCGCAGACTTTGCTAGTTTGACTGGAAGGTAACGTAGACAAATCTGGGTTCCCACTTATAACTCCTGGATCCGTAAACTTGTGTTCCTCACTTTACGGTGTATCTTTCCTCCCTATTTCTTTTCTCGTCAGCGTTCCACTTTCTCAGGCATAATTTTTCATAAAAAAAAAAAACAGAAAGGGAACAAACGGGGAACAGATGAGGTAGGGGGATGGGAGGATGCGCGGAGGGGAGTGGAGTAAAGCGGAGAAGGGCACGATAGCAGCACCGTAGCACCGCAGGAGGCGGCGAGCACACAGCAAAGGGAAAAAGGTGACGATGGCATGTCATGACACGAGAGAAAAGAACCGGGCAGGCAATGAGCATACGAGTAGGGAGGCGATGGCAGCAAAGGCAGCCTGGGAGGTGCAGCAGGCAGCCCAGTGGACGGCTAGAGTGTAGCCCACTGCCATGATGCATGCCGAGCGGGAGAGCCTGGGGGAGGGGGAGGGAGTGGGAGGAGATGGGGGGCATACGAGGTGATTTAGAGGTGCCTCGACACTTGTCTCATCGCAGCAGGCAGTCCAGTGCACGGCCAGGGTGCAGCCCAGTGCACGGCCAGGGTGCAGCCCAGTGCACGGCCACGGTGCAGCCCAGTGCACGGCCAGGGTGCAGCCCAGTGCACGGCCAGGGTGCAGCCCAGTGCACGGCCAGGGTGCAGCCCAGTGCACGGCCAGGGTGCAGCCCAGTGCACGGCCATGGTGCAGCCCAGTGCACGGCCAGGGTGCAGCCCAGTGCACGGCCAGGGTGCAGCCCAGTGCACGGCCAGGGTGCAGCCCAGTGCACGGCCACGGTGCAGCCCAGTGCACGGCCAGGGTGCAGCCCAGTGCACGGCCAGGGTGCAGCCCAGTGCACGGCCAGGGTGCAGCCCAGTGCACGGCCACGGTGCAGCCCAGTGCACGGCCAGGGTGCAGCCCAGTGCACGGCCAGGGTGCAGCCCAGTGCACGGCCAGGGTGCAGCCCAGTGCACGGCCAGGGTGCAGCCCAGTGCACGGCCCAGTGCACGGCCAGGGTGCAGCCCAGTGCACGGCCAGGGTGCAGCCCAGTGCACGGCCAGGGTGCAGCCCAGTGCACGGCCAGGGTGCAGCCCAGTGCACGGCCAGGGTGCAGCCCAGTGCACGGCCAGGGTGCAGCCCAGTGCACGGCCAGGGTGCAGCCCAGTGCACGGCCAGGGTGCAGCCCAGTGCACGGCCAGGGTGCAGCCCAGTGCACGGCCAGGGTGCAGCCCAGTGCACGGCCAGGGTGCAGCCCAGTGCACGGCCAGGGTGCAGCCCAGTGCACGGCCACGGTGCAGCCCAGTGCACGGCCAGGGTGCAGCCCAGTGCACGGCCAGGGTGCAGCCCAGTGCACGGCCAGGGTGCAGCCCAGTGCACGGCCAGGGTGCAGCCCAGTGCACGGCCAGGGTGCAGCCCAGTGCACGGCCAGGGTGCAGCCCAGTGCACGGCCACGGTGCAGCCCAGTGCACGGCCACGGTGCAGCCCAGTGCACGGCCAGGGTGCAGCCCAGTGCACGGCCAGGGTGCAGCCCAGTGCACGGCCAGGGTGCAGCCCAGTGCACGGCCACGGTGCAGCCCAGTGCACGGCCAGGGTGCAGCCCAGTGCACGGCCACGGTGCAGCCCAGTGCACGGCCACGGTGCAGCCCAGTGCACGGCCAGGGTGCAGCCCAGTGCACGGCCAGGGTGCAGCCCAGTGCACGGCCAGGGTGCAGCCCAGTGCACGGCCAGGGTGCAGCCCAGTGCACGGCCACGGTGCAGCCCAGTGCACGGCCAGGGTGCAGCCCAGTGCACGGCCAGGGTGCAGCCCAGTGCACGGCCAGGGTGCAGCCCAGTGCACGGCCAGGGTGCAGCCCAGTGCACGGCCAGGGTGCAGCCCAGTGCACGGCCAGGGTGCAGCCCAGTGCACGGCCACGGTGCAGCCCAGTGCACGGCCACGGTGCAGCCCAGTGCACGGCCAGGGTGCAGCCCAGTGCACGGCCAGGGTGCAGCCCAGTGCACGGCCAGGGTGCAGCCCAGTGCACGGCCACGGTGCAGCCCAGTGCACGGCCAGGGTGCAGCCCAGTGCACGGCCACGGTGCAGCCCAGTGCACGGCCACGGTGCAGCCCAGTGCACGGCCAGGGTGCAGCCCAGTGCACGGCCAGGGTGCAGCCCAGTGCACGGCCAGGGTGCAGCCCAGTGCACGGCCAGGGTGCAGCCCAGTGCACGGCCACGGTGCAGCCCAGTGCACGGCCAGGGTGCAGCCCAGTGCACGGCCAGGGTGCAGCCCAGTGCACGGCCAGGGTGCAGCCCAGTGCACGGCCAGGGTGCAGCCCAGTGCACGGCCAGGGTGCAGCCCAGTGCACGGCCACGGTGCAGCCCAGTGCACGGCCAGGGTGCAGCCCAGTGCACGGCCAGGGTGCAGCCCAGTGCACGGCCAGGGTGCAGCCCAGTGCACGGCCAGGGTGCAGCCCAGTGCACGGCCACGGTGCAGCCCAGTGCACGGCCACGGTGCAGCCCAGTCACATGAGGCGCGCCGAGCGGGACAGCCTAGGGGGGGGAGGGGGGTGGTACGAAGCGATAGTGGAGCCTGAACGATTGTCTCCTGGCAGGAGGGTGTACTAGCATTGCACCCTCCTGGTGAGCGTGTGGACGGCCGGAGTGTTGGCGAGCGACATGAAACACGCTAAAGGGGAGAGCCCGAGGGGAGAAGAATGAGTGTGCGAAGAGGGAAGACCGTTGATTGAGATTGCGGGGTGCATGTGACAGTGGGCAGCAGTAGCGCATGGTTGCAGCGCCGTGTGCTGACAGCATGAGCCATGTGCAGACAGCATGAGCCATGGCAGCAGGCATGGAGGCACAGCGCGAATCTACGACTATGAGCTTGTATTAAAATCCGCTAAGAAACTACAGTCATGCACGAGCGATCAACTACCTTCATGGCTTCGTTGCAGAGACACACCAGGAAGGGTAGAGCAGCTCAGCGCGAGAGGGAGGCGATGCAGTGAGGAGGGCGAGCACGAGGTCCAAGATGAGACGGCCCCCACAGCCTGGCGATGGGGGAGAGTGGTGTGAGGAGTGGACGAGGGGAGGGAGGGATGCAGACAAGAGCCAAAGCACCGCGTGATGCAAGGAGAGAGCGTGATGCAAGGAGAGAGCGTGATGAGGAGGGGAGTGGGGCGGGCGAGAGAAGGAGGTTCAAGACAACGCGGCCGCCACAGCCTGGTGGACGATGGTGGTGGGGGGAGTGAAACACAAAAAGGGAGGGGAGTGTGGGAAGGTTAACATTAAGGGTACAGGTGGGGTGGGGAGAGTGCCGTACCTGCGAGAGTGCCGTACCTGCAAGAGTGCCGTACCTGCGAGAGTGCCGTACCTGCGAGAGTGCCGTACCTGCGAGAGTGCCGTACCTGCGAGAGTGCCGTACCTGCGAGAGTGCCGTACCTGCGAGAGTGCCGTACCTGCGAGAGTGCCAATGAAGACTGGAGCCACCACAGCATGCTTCCCAAACAGCACAACTGCCCTGTCAACCTGCACACCCCCCCCCCCCCCCCAAGAGCAACGAGAGAGTGGAAGGGTTGAGTCACAGGTGGGTGGGAGGGGAGGAAAAGGACGTATCACGTTTTGATAGGTCTCAAAACAGCACAACCGCCCTGTCTATCTGCACAACCGCCCTGTCTATCTGCACAACCGCCCTGTCTATCTGCACAACCGCCCTGTCTATCTGCACAACCGCCCTGTCTATCTGCACAACCACCCTGTCTATCTGCACAACCGCCCTGTCTATCTGCACAACCGCCCTGTCTATCTGCACAACCGCCCTGTCTATCTGCACAACCGCCCTGTCTATCTGCACAACCGCCCTGTCTATCTGCACAACCGCCCTGTCTATCTGCAACCCCGGGCAAGAGCGATGAGAGAGTGGTGCGGTTGAGTAACGGGTGAGATGGGGGGGGGGGGACGTATCATGAGTGAGGGAGGAAGGGAGACTGAGGAGGTGGCGTGGGGGGGAGGATGATGAGGTGTGGAGATGGGAGGAAGGCACAAGGAACAAGACAGCAGGTGAGACAAGCACGGGTGGGGTGACGTGTAAGATGCATGCACATTGCAGCACAGACAGCAGTGCAGTCACAGCTCAGAAAGTTGGCTGGATTGGGAGGATAAGATTGAAATGCACTATGAAACCGAAAAGTGATAATGGCATTAGCAATCATTGAGTAGACATTAGCAGAGATCACACGGTAGCAGCACAGAGCAGGTGGCAGCACAGAGCAGGTGGCAGTAGTGGAATTACTCTGGAAATGACGACGCCTGTGCGCGCTATGCTTGCTGTCACCCGTGCTAGTAGCTGCAGGAGGGGAGAAGGCAGGCGGGGAGAGGGCAGGCGGGGAGAGGGCAGGGGGGGGAAAGGGTAAGAGACGACAAAAGGCAGCCACGGATTCGCAAGGGCGGGGCACATTAAGAGGTTCACAAGAATTGCTCCTGCATGTGCCGAGTTGGCGAGTTTTGAGGCACGAGAGAAGGGCACATATCAAGGCCCCTCAACTCAAAGACCCAGACACTGGGTGAGACTGGGGAAAAGCACCAACACTGGAAGCCTGAGTTCACATGCTTGCAGCACGAGTTCACATGCTTGCAGCACGAGTTCACATGCTTGCAGCACGAGTTCACATGCTTGCAGCGCGAGTTCACATGCTTGCAGCACGAGTTCACATGTGCACCTTGACAGGTGTGAGGGCATAGAGGCGACTCCCCACGTCGTATGGAGAGTATGTGATGACCCACCTGCATGGAGACACATGGATCTCAGTGTGATGCCATGGATGGGCGGAGTGGATGGGCGGAGTGGATGGGCGGAGTGGATGGGCGGAGTGGATGGGCGGAGTGGATGGGTACACAGCATGGACAAGGGGTACTCGCATTTTCTGAATGCAACCAAGGGGAACAATAAGAGCCATGCAATAGCAGCGGTGAGCAGACGAAGCAGTAGAGGACGAGGTGGCAGCGTAGCAGCAGAGGAAGCCTTGTGGCAACAAAACAATCAGCGTACCAGCAGAGGGCGAAGAGCAGGAGGACGGAGTCGTTGCGCAGCCACACAAAGTGATCCTGTGGCGTGGCGTAGCAGAGAGGAGCGGAGATACGGGTGAATAAGAGATTCTAGCACCGAGAATACTACAGCTTGAAAGTGCTTCGGTTAAATGTTTGAGCGAATTGAGGATGTACCTGTTCCCCCACGTGGTTTCAAATAACTAGGGAGCACAGGTAGAGTGAGGCACGCACATGCAGGAGGAGGGAGGTGAGCGTTCCTCCGCCATATCCGGTGAAGAACGACGCCCAGAAGCACAGCAGCCAATGGCGTCGCAGCAGGGGGATCCGCACGGCTGCTGACGTGGCAAGCGCGTGGCCAATAATGATAAGATCGAAGGGGATACTCTGAAAGGCCAATCCGGCGTCGTGCAGCTGCTGATGCGTCCGCTCGGCGAGCGTCACAGCCGCCGTGAAATACGGCGAGTCGGAGAGAGGAAGGAGGGGATTGAGGAGGGAATGACGGAGGGAAACGGCGAGGTCCGTTGGGAGGACGGCGGAGAGCGAGGGACGAATGACGGCATCGAGCAGCCACGAGGAGCTGGCGGGTGCCATCGCGATGAGGAGCGTTAGGTCACGCTGTCATAAATAACGTCAGGGGTGCTGCTGAGCTGAAATAGGCTGACTTGGTAGTATGTAGGTAGCGTTAAGTGATTGTACTACGAGTTAGACGCGCTTGCTCACGTGGTCGATTTTACACATAAATATCAATTCTAAGCCTAGAAAGTATCACCCCATAAATAGGTAAGGTAGTCTTACTGGAATGGTCACAAAAGTGGCGCTGCGGGTAGTGTGATCACAAAAATGGTCGACCCTTAGGACGCGTTCACGGGGTCCCGTTTAGTCCGGTTCGGATGAACGCTGAACTTTGCTCCTGTAAAATCAGAGAATACAAACCAAACCAACTGTCTCGCCTGACCTGTTTTCTTGTCAAGCCAGCCCCGCCCGACCTTGCACCGCTTGGGGAACGACATTTTTCGCTACCCTTTGGAATGAGACGAACCAGAGGTTAGATTTGGAAACCGCTAGTCGCAGCGGGTTACCACATCCGAATTTAACCAATCTTATTACTGCGAATACGACTTCAGCAGCAATCTTCCTGGTCAGAACTGTAGAGTGACAGATCACGACACGATCGTAGCAATGACCATTCACAGCTAGCTTTTTCCACCACATCACACACTCCTAGATTTCAGGAGGCTGTCGCACAGGCACTACTTCGCCATAGTAGTAGCCATGGCGACGTACTTCTTCGTACAGCTATGGCACTCCACCATCCTCCCCCTCCTCTCATCCTTCCTCCCCTTGGACCTCCTCCTTCCCGCCAAGTCCCTCCTTCCGCCGCTCCTGCACTCCGCAATGCCGGTTCTCGCGCGCGCGCACCAGCAGCTGCACGAAATCGGGGAAGCGTATAGCGCGGTGCCCTACGATCTGATCGTGGCCGGAAAGGCCCTCGCCACGTCGGCGATTGTAAGGGGAGTCCCGGCGGTGCGACGTCATTGGCTGCTGAGCTTCTGGGCGTCGTTCCTATTGGCTTACGGCGACTACTCCCTGCCCTCGCTCGTCTTGCAGGTGCCTTATCCCTCTGCTCGTCTGTCTGCGCGCTTGCATTGCTGGATTTCGTTACAAGATTCCTTTAGGATTTCGCTATACGACCTTATTACAGTAGCTCTTTGTAGTATCCCACTTCAAACTCTTGCCACGGGTCTCATTTGCTACGGGTCTCACTTGAGCAGCACAATCGAGAACCTCAACCTGGAATCGCCTGTTGTCTGCTGCTGGTGGGATGATCTGCATGGGTGCTGTGGTGTTGAATGAGAGAGAGTCTTTGCTGCTTGTGCATGGTTGCGGGGCCGAAGGATGCGAGGGGGAGCAGCATGGGAGCATGGACTTACGCACATTCCACCTGACTTGTCTTGATACCCTACCAGCAGCGCACCGCTGTGCCTATATGCTTCCCCCACACACCTTCCAACAACCCAAACCCAGAACCTTACCTCCTTCTCATCCCTTCCTCTCCACTTCTCCCCTCCCCCCTCCTGCTGGCGATTCTCCGCAAGCACAGAGCGACTTTGTGTGGCTCAAGAAGGACATCATTCTCACCACCTTCGCCGCCTGCTGGTAACCACCTGCTTTCACGTGTCCAGGGACCAGAACCAGGAAAGATATGTCCTGTCACAACGTGCGCGTGATTGTCGGCAGTAACCCATACATGCCATGAGCTGGTACCAGCAGTATTTTGTTGTTGACGAAAGCTTGTAACCATGGTCAGCTAACCGCCATCTTGTGGTAACCAGATTGGTAGTACATATGTTGAGAGGTGGTGCAATTCAGCATGCTCTGTCTGGCCTCCCCCTCTCGTGTCCAATGCTCAGTGAGGTGCACCACCGCATGCTCAGTGAGGTGCACCACCGCATGCTTAGTGAGGTGCACCACCGCATGCTCCTTCACTCCATTGCATCCCACTCTCGTTTTCCTCCGCCACACACCCCACGCTCTGCCACACACCCCACGCTCTGCCACACACCCACGTTCAGGCCACACAACCCATGTCCTGACGCGTCTCAACCCGATGCACTGTGTGTATGTGTGTGCGCGTGCGTGCGTGCGTGCGTGCGTGCGTGCGTGCGTGCGTGTGTGTGTGTGTGTGTGTGCGTGCGTGCGTGCGTGTGTGCGTGCGTGTGTGTGTGTGTGTGTGTGCGTGCGTGCGTGCGTGCGTGCTTGTGTGATGAGCAGGTGGTTGGTAACCTACAGTCCGCGTGACATGGGCTACAAGGCGTTCAAGCTCATGCCCCTCAAGGTGACAGGGCGTCCTGAGGCTTAATGCATGTTGCCATGCCATCCATGCACCTCCTTGGGTTGTTGGTCATGCATTCACGGATTCTTGGTGGGAAGGACGCAGCATGCACGGCGGGTGCATCACATGCATGGCGGGTGCACAACATGCATGGCGGGTACACAACATGCATGGCGGGTACACAACATGCATGGCGGGTGCACAACATGCATGGCGGGTGCATCACATGCATGGCCCCATCTCACACTCCCGACCCCTGGCCCTTCTCTCATTACACCCAAACTCAATCACTGGCAGAGTTCTTCCTCTCACCCCTTCTCACGCATTTTCATCCCTTCTCACCTCTTCTCACCCCTTCTCACCCCTTCTCATACCATCTCATCCTTCTCATCCCACCTCTCTCCCCACTCCCCCTTTTCCCCGTGCGCATGTCACCAGCTGCTGTGCAAGGCGGCATCAGGCCTGGCTCGCACCAACGTCATTCTCTCCATGGTGGGTGCCCTCTGCGCCTCTACCCATGCCTGCCCTCTGCGCCTCTACCCATGCCTGCCCTCTGCGCCTCTACCCATGCCTGCCCTCTGCGCCTCTACCCATGCCTGCCCTCTGCGCCTCTACCCATGCCTGCCCTCTGCGCCTCTGCCCTTCCATGCAATGTGCATGCCCTGTGGCTGTGGCACTGCAAGTCACGTGGAGTCTGTTGAGCTTTGGCTGTCTGCTGTTCTGCCTGGACTCTTTGAGGTATGTCAACGAGTATGTCCGTGTCTTCTGACGCCTCAAATATGTCCGTGTCTTCTGACGCCTCAAATATGTCCGTGTCTTCTGACGCCTCAAATATGTCCGTGTCTTCTGACGCCTCAAATATGTCCGTGTCTTCTGACGCCTCAAATATGTCCGTGTCTTCTGACGCCTCAAATATGTCCGTGTCTTCTGACGCCTCAAATATGTCCGTGTCTTCTGACGCCTCAAATATGTCCGTGTCTTCTGACGCCTCAAAGAATATCAAGTATCTGTGACTCTCTCCATTCCATTCCATCCCCTCTGTGTGCCTGCTGTATCTCCCCCTCTGTGTGCCTGCTGTATCTCCCCCTCTGTGTGCCTGCTGTATCTCCCCCTCTGTGTGCCTGCTGTATCTCCCCCTCTGTGTGCCTGCTGTATCTCCCCCTCTGTGTGCCTGCTGTATCTCCCCCTCTGTGTGCCTGCTGTATCTCCCCCTCTGTGTGCCTGCTGTATCTCCCCCTCTGTGTGCCTGCTGTATCTCCCCCTCTGTGTGCCTGCTGTATCTCCCCCTCTGTGTGCCTGCTGTATCTCCCCCTCTGTGTGCCTGCTGTATCTCCCCCTCTGTGTGCCTGCTGTATCTCCCCCTCTGTGTGCCTGCTGTATCTCCCCCTCTGTGTGCCTGCTGTATCTCCCCCTCTGTGTGCCTGCTGTATCTCCCCCTCTGTGTGCCTGCTTGCCATGTATCCTCCTCCCCCCAGGTGGACACAGCAGTGCAGCACTTTGGAACGCATGTCACAGTGGCGCCTCTCTTCATCGGCACGCTCTCTGGTGCGCCTTCGCTTGCGCCTTTTCACTCACCGTCTCATGCGTTTGCAATTTGTGGGCGTTCGTTGTGCGGGCGTCCACACATACATCCATACATGCAGGGAATGATGCACTGAGGCGTTACCACGATGCTTCAGCACGATGCGTCTGATAATGCAGCAGTGCCATGATGGGCACCTTCAGTAACGGACAGGTGGGCTGCGGAGGCACCTTGTGGAGCGTGCAACCACTCAGAGCGTGATCTCAGAGCGTGATCTCCGAGCGTGATCTCCGAGCGTGATCTCCGAGCGTGATCTCCGAGCGTGATTCACATCAGAGAGCGTGCTGTGCTTTGCACTCTGCCATGCATCCAACACTCCCACCTCTACTGCTTTCGCATATGCACAAAACATTTTCCCTCTCACCCTGTCACTGTGTGCCATGCTGTGGAGGCCGCCTTATCTACTATGCTGTGCCTGCCCGCGTCCCCCTCCTTCCCCTCCTCATTTTCCCCTTCACAATCATCAACCCCATGAATCCCCCATGCACCAGGCTGTGGGGGTCGTCTCATATACGACGCAGTGCTGGCCCTCGTCTCTCCCTCCGCTTCCAATCATCCCGAGCTGCTCTACCCCTCATGGTCCGTATCACTCCCCTCACGCTCCGTATCACTCCCCTCACGCTCCGTATCACTCCCCTCACGGTCCGTATCACTCCCCTCACGGTCCGTATCACCCTCGCCAAGCCAAGCCCTGAACCATGAACCCCAAACCCACAACCCTAGAATCTGAAGCATGGGGCTCTGAGCCCGCATGCTTTCTGTGTGCACGTCAAGTATGCGAGGTGACTTTTGAGTCGGCTCAAAAGTCATAATGAACCTGCCCGCTACTGCTCGCTAGCCCCAGAACTCTAAGCTGCATTTTCATTCACTGCAGGTACTCGTTTTCCCACACAGGAGCTGAACACACGCGTGTGTTCCTAACGGAATTCCTCCCTCCCAAAAGGCTCTCTTATGCTCCTTCCTGCTCACTGCACACATGGGCAACTATGTGACTTTCCTTCCTGCTCACTGCACACATGGGCAACTATGTGACTTTCCTTCCTGCTCACTGCAAACATGGGCAACTATGTGACTTTCCTTCCTGCTCACTGCACACATGGGCAACTATGTGACTTTCCTTCCTGCTCACTGCAAACATGGGCAACTATGTGACTTTCCTTCCTGCTCACTGCAAACATGGGCAACTATGTGACTTTCCTTCCTGCTCACTGCAAACATGGGCAACTATGTGACTTTCCTTCCTGCTCACTGCACACATGGGCAACTATGTGACTTTCCTTCCTGCTCACTGCAAACATGGGCAACTATGTGACTTTCCTTCCTGCTCACTGCAAACATGGGCAACTATGTGACTTTCCTTCCTGCTCACTGCACACATGGGCAACTATGTGACTTTCCTTCCTGCTCACTGCACACATGGGCAACTATGTGACTTTCCTTCCTGCTCACTGCAAACATGGGCAACTATGTGACTTTCCTTCCTGCTCACTGCAAACATGGGCAACTATGTGACTTTCCTTCCTGCTCACTGCAAACATGGGCAACTATGTGACTTTCCTTCCTGCTCACTGCAAACATGGGCAACTATGTGACTTTCCTTCCTGCTCACTGCAAACATGGGCAACTATGTGACTTTCCTTCCTGCTCACTGCACACATGGGCAACTATGTGACTTTCCTTCCTGCTCACTGCAAACATGGGCAACTATGTGACTTTCCTTCCTGCTCACTGCAAACATGGGCAACTATGTGACTTTCCTTCCTGCTCACTGCAAACATGGGCAACTATGTGACTTTCCTTCCTGCTCACTGCAAACATGGGCAACTATGTGACTTTCCTTCCTGCTCACTGCAAACATGGGCAACTATGTGACTTTCCTTCCTGCTCACTGCACACATGGGCAACTATGTGACTTTCCTTCCTGCTCACTGCAAACATGGGCAACTATGTGACTTTCCTTCCTGCTCACTGCAAACATGGGCAACTATGTGACTTTCCTTCCTGCTCACTGCAAACATGGGCAACTATGTGACTTTCCTTCCTGCTCACTGCAAACATGGGCAACTATGTGACTTTCCTTCCTGCTCACTGCAAACATGGGCAACTATGTGACTTTCCTTCCTGCTCACTGCAAACATGGGCAACTATGTGACTTTCCTTCCTGCTCACTGCAAACATGGGCAACTATGTGACTTTCCTTCCTGCTCACTGCAAACATGGGCAACTATGTGACTTTCCTTCCTGCTCACTGCAAACATGGGCAACTATGTGACTTTCCTTCCTGCTCACTGCAAACATGGGCAACTATGTGACTTTCCTTCCTGCTCACTGCAAACATGGGCAACTATGTGACTTTCCTTCCAGCTCACTGCAAACATGGGCAACTATGTGACTTTCCTTCCTGCTCACTGCAAACATGGGCAACTATGTGACTTTCCTTCCTCCTCACTGCAAACATGGGCAACTATGTGACTTTCCTTCCAGCTCACTGCAAACATGGGCAACTATGTGACTTTCCTTCCTGCTCACTGCAAACATGGGCAACTATGTGACTTTCCTTCCTGCTCACTGCAAACATGGGCAACTATGTGACTTTCCTTCCTGCTCACTGCAAACATGGGCAACTATGTGACTTTCCTTCCTGCTCACTGCAAACATGGGCAACTATGTGACTTTCCTTCCTGCTCACTGCAAACATGGGCAACTATGTGACTTTCCTTCCTGCTCACTGCAAACATGGGCAACTATGTGACTTTCCTTCCTGCTCACTGCAAACATGGGCAACTATGTGACTTTCCTTCCAGCTCACTGCAAACATGGGCAACTATGTGACTTTCCTTCCTGCTCACTGCAAACATGGGCAACTATGTGACTTTCCTTCCTGCTCACTGCAAACATGGGCAACTATGTGACTTTCCTTCCAGCTCACTGCAAACATGGGCAACTATGTGACTTTCCTTCCTGCTCACTGCAAACATGGGCAACTATGTGACTTTCCTTCCTGCTCACTGCAAACATGGGCAACTATGTGACTTTCCTTCCTGCTCACTGCAAACATGGGCAACTATGTGACTTTCCTTCCTGCTCACTGCAAACATGGGCAACTATGTGACTTTCCTTCCTGCTCACTGCAAACATGGGCAACTATGTGACTTTCCTTCCTGCTCACTGCAAACATGGGCACCTATGTGACTTTCCTTCCTGCTCACTGCAAACATGGGCAACTATGTGACTTTCCTTCCTGCTCACTGCAAACATGGGCAACTATGTGACTTTCCTTCCTGCTCACTGCAAACATGGGCAACTATGTGACTTTCCTTCCTGCTCACTGCAAACATGGGCAACTATGTGACTTTCCTTCCTGCTCACTGCAAACATGGGCAACTATGTGACTTTCCTTCCTGCTCACTGCAAACATGGGCAACTATGTGACTTTCCTTCCTGCTCACTGCAAACATGGGCAACTATGTGACTTTCCTTCCTGCTCACTGCAAACATGGGCAACTATGTGACTTTCCTTCCTGCTCACTGCAAACATGGGCAACTATGTGACTTTCCTTCCTGCTCACTGCAAACATGGGCAACTATGTGACTTTCCTTCCTGCTCACTGCAAACATGGGCAACTATGTGACTTTCCTTCCTGCTCACTGCAAACATGGGCAACTATGTGACTTTCCTTCCTGCTCACTGCAAACATGGGCAACTATGTGACTTTCCTTCCTGCTCACTGCAAACATGGGCAACTATGTGACTTTCCTTCCTGCTCACTGCAAACATGGGCAACTATGTGACTTTCCTTCCTGCTCACTGCAAACATGGGCAACTATGTGACTTTCCTTCCTGCTCACTGCAAACATGGGCAACTATGTGACTTTCCTTCCTGCTCACTGCAAACATGGGCAACTATGTGACTTTCCTTCCTGCTCACTGCAAACATGGGCAACTATGTGACTTTCCTTCCTGCTCACTGCAAACATGGGCAACTATGTGACTTTCCTTCCTGCTCACTGCAAACATGGGCAACTATGTGACTTTCCTTCCTGCTCACTGCAAACATGGGCAACTATGTGACTTTCCTTCCTGCTCACTGCAAACATGGGCAACTATGTGACTTTCCTTCCTGCTCACTGCAAACATGGGCAACTATGTGACTTTCCTTCCTGCTCACTGCAAACATGGGCAACTATGTGACTTTCCTTCCTGCTCACTGCAAACATGGGCAACTATGTGACTTTCCTTCCTGCTCACTGCAAACATGGGCAACTATGTGACTTTCCTTCCTGCTCACTGCAAACATGGGCAACTATGTGACTTTCCTTCCTGCTCACTGCAAACATGGGCAACTATGTGACTTTCCTTCCTGCTCACTGCAAACATGGGCAACTATGTGACTTTCCTTCCTGCTCACTGCAAACATGGGCAACTATGTGACTTTCCTTCCTGCTCACTGCAAACATGGGCAACTATGTGACTTTCCTTCCTGCTCACTGCAAACATGGGCAACTATGTGACTTTCCTTCCTGCTCACTGCAAACATGGGCAACTATGTGACTTTCCTTCCTGCTCACTGCAAACATGGGCAACTATGTGACTTTCCTTCCTGCTCACTGCAAACATGGGCAACTATGTGACTTTCCTTCCTGCTCACTGCAAACATGGGCAACTATGTGACTTTCCTTCCTGCTCACTGCAAACATGGGCAACTATGTGACTTTCCTTCCTGCTCACTGCAAACATGGGCAACTATGTGACTTTCCTTCCTGCTCACTGCAAACATGGGCAACTATGTGACTTTCCTTCCTGCTCACTGCAAACATGGGCAACTATGTGACTTTCCTTCCTGCTCACTGCAAACATGGGCAACTATGTGACTTTCCTTCCTGCTCACTGCAAACATGGGCAACTATGTGACTTTCCTTCCTGCTCACTGCAAACATGGGCAACTATGTGACTTTCCTTCCTGCTCACTGCAAACATGGGCAACTATGTGACTTTCCTTCCTGCTCACTGCAAACATGGGCAACTATGTGACTTTCCTTCCTGCTCACTGCAAACATGGGCAACTATGTGACTTTCCTTCCTGCTCACTGCAAACATGGGCAACTATGTGACTTTCCTTCCTGCTCACTGCAAACATGGGCAACTATGTGACTTTCCTTCCTGCTCACTGCAAACATGGGCAACTATGTGACTTTCCTTCCTGCTCACTGCAAACATGGGCAACTATGTGACTTTCCTTCCTGCTCACTGCAAACATGGGCAACTATGTGACTTTCCTTCCTGCTCACTGCAAACATGGGCAACTATGTGACTTTCCTTCCTGCTCACTGCAAACATGGGCAACTATGTGACTTTCCTTCCTGCTCACTGCAAACATGGGCAACTATGTGACTTTCCTTCCTGCTCACTGCAAACATGGGCAACTATGTGACTTTCCTTCCTGCTCACTGCAAACATGGGCAACTATGTGACTTTCCTTCCTGCTCACTGCAAACATGGGCAACTATGTGACTTTCCTTCCTGCTCACTGCAAACATGGGCAACTATGTGACTTTCCTTCCTGCTCACTGCAAACATG